ATAATTAAATACAGAACAATGTAGTTTACGTTTAGTGTATGTTTAGTCCAAAATTTGAATATTAACTTATTTGGCTAATTATTAATGGCAAAGTACGGGGACTGTTTGATGTGAAAGTAATAAATTACACTGTAAGTTAAATTTATTTTTACTTTTTAATTAATTTTTCGATACATTGTTCTAGTTAAGCTATATATACATCTAAACATCTTGGACTATTACGACTGGGCACTGTCGCCTAAAAAGAACAGACTGATCAGCTACAACGCTGCAATTATTCGAACTTAATTTTAAAATCATTTTATTTACTGTTACTTACAACTCAATTACCTCTAAAGTGTTTAAATGGAGCCTTAGTAGCTATTTATAGTCTATACTTTCGATATGACATCACGAAACACTTGGATGTCTGGAGCCACCTCTTTAGAAAGAGTTTGACCAATATACTGACGACAGTAAAGTAAGCAATGGAGTAGGCAATGTTGTGTAGTGGAGTTTATTTAAAAAACTCTAGATATAGCCAAATATTACAGGCTAACCGTTGAATAAAATGTGTTGCAGACAGAAGTTATTGCTATTACAAAAGCAATACCTTATATTGAAGTTGAAATTATATACAAGAGGGAGGTATATATAAAATTGTTAACTGATATTTTCACATCAAGCCTTCAAGTCGTAGTATATTGAATAGAAAGGTATATATAATATTAGTACGATATTGATATTCACATTTCTAAATAGCGGTTAGAGGTAATGAAGAATTTTGGCACAGCTAATTCTTTTCAGTTGAATATGTTTAAGCCTCCCGCTATTCTCCCAGTTTATCACCATATCACCCACTCTCACTATCGACGGATTCTGTCTCCACTTACGCGTTATAAACAGAGCCTTAGTTTTTACATTATTGATTTTTATTTTCCATTTCTGAAAATACTCCAGAATGAGGTTTATATGCTCTAGAAGTGTGTTCATTATGTTGAGAGCACATTTCATCTATAATAGTAAATTTCATTCGAAGCTTTCTATTCCTGTAATTTTATAGACCCTATCAAATGTACTTATTATCTACCTATGGACAGATTGTAAATAAATAAATAAAAATATAAAAATAATGAAATAAAATAAACTAAAAAATAAATTTAAAAAAATGAAATAAAATAAAAAAAATACAATAAAAAAAATAAAATAAGCAAAATAAAATAAAATAAATAAAACAAAAAAAATATTCACATAAATTTTTTAGTGAATTTTGCACGAACTATTAAAAACTACTACATATAAACTGCTACTATATATTTATAAACTACAAATATATATAAACTACTATTATATATAAACTAGTATTATATGTAAACTAGTACTATACATAAACTAGTATTATATATAAACTAGTACTATGTATTAACTGCTACTATATATAAACCATAAGCTATAAACTGTATATAAACTGTTTATAAACCCCTATTGTATATAAACTACTACTATAAATATACTAGTACTATATATATACTACTACTATCTATATTAACTACTATACTATTAACTATTATCACTACTACTTTATACTATAGCCGTTTAATAAAAATGTTTCTACCACATGGTAGTTTTTCTCCTTCATCCTTAATTTTATTGTTGTGCTTTTGATTTATAATATATTTCTGGGTTGGAACTATTAATAGCAATTAACACATCTCCAGAGTCTATTCATTTCACAGTAAGGAAAGCATTTCGATTTATTGAAAGTTTCAATTTTTTTATACAAATCCATATACATATACAGCACATAAAAACTCATTGAAAAGCTTAATAGTTATGAAAAATAAAATGGAAACTCCAAAGCATCAATTTGTATGACTGCATCACTGATTGCAGTTCATACTGTGGTATTTGAATTTAAAATTTATAATACTTACAATTCATAAGTTTTAGAATAAAATTTTATATAAAATATTTTTTAATTTTTCTTCATTCTTCTTCTGGTTTCCTCCACTTCAGCTGCATTTTTTTTTGTCTTTTAATACATACATTTATATTGAATTGTAAGCCGTTTGTATTCACGAGCATAAAAAAATAACAAGCAGCAATGCAAATGCAGAAATGTAGTACAAAGACAATTAACAAGTTTGCAAGGATGTGCTTATTGTGTAGTATGAAAGTTTTTTTATTTTTTCATTTAAATAAATTTTTGATATATATATTTGATTTTTTTTAAGTTCTTGTGGGAATGGTATATTAATAAAAGAAGTAGATACGCTTAGTGATGAGAAGAACATTTTGAATGACTGATTTAATTACTTCTGTCAATGTATTTTTTGTTATATTTTATAACAAATATATAATACTTTAAGTACTTCAAGGAACCATAATATAATGTGTATCTTACTTAAAATTTTCAAATGTTCCTTAAATTTAATATTCTCTGAAATGCATCTAGTGGCCTTGCATTCTTCAAATCATCCACTCAAGCATGTCAAATACACTTTTTGCCATTTTTCGATTATTTTTTACAGTTTTGTGGTTAAATTTTGAATGGCATGGCACGTCCAATGCACTTCATTGTTACAGAAAACTGTAAAAATTGTTTTTACTTCCTACACGGTTGCAGGTGTTATTGATGTACTCGACATAACGTCTCATTAATAAAATTTAAGTACAAAAGAATGAGAAACATTAAGTTGCCACTTCAGAAAAAAATGAAGCCACTTCCCTGCATTGCAGTAAATAAAAATAAATAGCAATGGCATATATAAATGTACATATTAGTGGTATGGCATCCGCAGAAGCCAAACTTTTCTAGAATTTTTATATTAAATTACATATACGTGAATTTTTAATTTACTGGGTATGAACTAGCTCATCAACATTCGCATTATGCTTTTTTATTGCAGTATTTTTAAAATAATATAATTAAAAAACTCAAAATTATTTTGTATAAAAATTGGTTTAAAAAAATACATGGATTAATCCAGGAACTTTATTAGTTTATAAACTATATACGGACTATAAACTAATTAAAAAATTCAAATATTTCCTGAGACCACTGATGATGAGTACTTGCCAATACTTGAAACAACGTTGTATGGTCAACCAAACTTCAACAAATTAACTAAAATTTTGGTTGTTGTCTTTTGATTTCTATTCGAACCCTGCTAAATAGACTATTTTCGTCTAAGACGCGTCATTTTCGACAAAAAAGAATTAACACTAATAAATTATTAACTTATATTTACTGTGGGACATATTCAAGCAGTTATGGTCACGTCAAAAGTAAATCGTTATTATTTTCAATATAAATAAAAAGTTTGAGAATGAGAATTGAAAAGAAATTTTAAACAAATTTTTGTTACGTAGTGTTTATCCTTACCTCGTCATGTAAGCCTACTGGTGAAACAGTGTTACACAGTAAAAAATTTCAGGATTTGCGCTTTTTAAAAGCACAAATATGGATATACTTACATATCCATACAAAAAAAAATACTTTTTAAATCTGAATGCAATCTAAAAGTATTAAAATAGTAATAACACTATGAAATCGACGATTTTGATCTGACTCTGCATGATAACACTCTGCCATTACCAGAAAGAACGTTAGGCTACAATCAACAATTGTATATTTGCATAAAATAACAGATAAATAATACCATACCCATAAGTTCAAGTGTCCTGACAACAAAATAAATCACAATAGACCGTCCAAATTGTCATATTTTAAACCAACTAAACTCAGTAAAATGGTAGCACGAAGGCTGTGTTGTAAACGATTGTTGGACAGCTTATTGCCCAATATAGAAGTCGCTTGGAAGATTAAAACAAAGCTACGATCCTACGCAAAAAGTTGGAACTAAGTCAAAATTCAGATAGAAACCAATAGAAAATATTTATTTTGGCCCCCTTGGCCCTTGTAGGAATTAAAAGATAAAATGCATATATACAAAAAATTCATATTGATGTGAAATAGTATTTAACGTATGCTATTGCATAGCATGTCAGCTGCAATACTAAGTTGTTCAAAATGTTTAATGGACGGAAATGAAATCACGGAAAAGAATTTAAGCTAGTTTGCTTCTTAATATAATTTGCTGCAAAAACAAAACACGTCTTGTTCTCTTGATCTTGAATCTTCTTGAGTTAGTGCTATTACGCACTTTTACTCTATAATGACTGGGGGGCTTATCTCTACCCCACACTAGGCTTTAACTAGGCTAAGAAATCATATCATTTATTTGTCTTTTGACGAACCTTAAATCAGCATATCTTCCTGAGACTTCAGAAGTGGACTTGAGGATTGTTAGGGCGGGGTTAAGTAGCGTATCAACTTTAGTGAATAATTTTAATGATTCTCCATTTAATCAAAATCGGTTTTTACGAAAGGATTTTCTGACGTCTGAAAAACCCGGAAATTATAGGAATACAAGCAGTTGCGTTGTTTTGTTGAATATCGCTCTCAGACAGATGATGATCTTCTAAAACTATATCCTAAATTTTTGTAACGATTTCTGGTGTTGATACAATTTTAAGATACATTTACAACAAACAGTCCCCTTTAAAATCCATTGTTTTCATTAAAGCAGATTCATCCAAACAGATTTATCATTCTGATATTACTTTTCATTGTTTCAGTTGTTAAAATATACCCTGAGATATCAATTTTAAATAATTTGTAAACTAAGAAACCATTTCAAACCGAAATGATATTTTGACTATATTCATTCGACGGATTAAATAAGAAATGACGTTAATATTAGTTGTGATACTGACAAAAAGGTAGCGCTCGACGTACTTAATGAATAATCTTTTATTGAAGTGAGACTTTTAAATTTTGTATTTCTATATATAATTATTATTAATTATTATTGTTTATATTCACATGTACTGTATATATCAGCAATAAAATTTATTTCTTATAAAGCTTTCAATTTATTTAAAATATTTCATTAGAAGGCATAGCTTTTTTATTCGAATTAAAGAACACTAATCAAGTTGTTTAGTTGAAATTTTTATTTAAAATCATTTGTTTCGTAAAATTAAAATTGTTATCTATTTTTACTAAGATAAAACTAACCCCTATGTAGCTAAATATACCATCAAAATTTCATGTTCACTACTCTTTCCCGAATTAAAATTACAGTCAACCAGTTTGCACATTTGGTGAATAGGTTATCCGGTAAGGATTGGATTATTTCAAAATGGCAACTGCTCAAAAATTTAGAATGGTTCAAAAGCAACTAAGAATAAAAGTAAGTACTTTTAAATCTTCAATTTGTTATATATAATAAAAATCTTTAATTCTTTCAGCCTTGGACTCTAGCAAAAAATGCTTCGAAATTAGTTGGTAAATGCGTGAATAAAATTTGCAAAAAGGATGCTTCATCCGGCCCAAAAGCTAATACTGCATCTCCATCCAAAGTTAACATTTCTAAAGATGGTGAGTACTTATACTGTACTTATACTGAGTACAGTTCATACTGTAGTCTCGGCAATTAGAATAAACTTAGAACCTATGGTCAATCGCATATTATTGAAAAATAAGATTCTATCATTTATTCTTTTATATAAATACTGATTTCGATAAAAAATTTATTAAATAATTAGTCTTTTAAAATTTGCAAGACAAGATAAAGATACATTGCAGTATGTTATATTTCCACCCATTTTTTTTGAAATATTTTTAAGTTTGACATAAAAGAAACCAATAAAATATGTCAAAAATATTCGGAATTTTTTATAAATTTTTTGATATATTTTTAATGGTGACACTTTGGTGCGAGTTGTGGACTCCAATTGGGCGCCAAATATGAGGTGCTCCAAGATCAATGTGAAGCCGCTTATGGACTATCAGTACCTTATTTGTAGGTTAAATAAATATAAAATTTTTTTTGAATAGAGAAGATCTTAGCCAGTTAATTATTTAAATCGGTATTTACCTATACTAATTTTCACACGATTATATATTATTTAATTTTATAAATTAAAATAGACTTAATCAGTTTCTTTTGAACTATAAAATGTGTAATTTATTGCTGTCACAATAAAGTGGTGTCCAAGGTAAATAAGTAAAAACTTGAACGTAAGAGACTTATAAGATAGTTTAAAAATAATAAACGCAAACACAACAGCTATAGTATGTATAAGATTCAACTTGTTGGCGCAAAAAGCCGAGCTCTAAGCCATACTAGTTAAAAATAATGACTGACAGGGTTGTAATCCTGTTATGGATTACTTTAAGAATCCTTAGATTATTTGATACAATTATTTTGATTATTTTGAAATTAGTTGAATCCAGTTCAGCCTAAGCTTCAATTCTGCTTTACTTATATTTAATTCTACCTTTAAAAATATTAATACTCTCCAAAACTGAATATTTCCACAGATGCTGCAGCCGCTCCCAGACAAGAAAATAAGGGACCATTGCGTATGTTAAAATCTTTAGGAAAATTGCGTCAAAATAAAAATGCAGCCGTTGATCGTGCTAAGCAAAAATCACAGTACGATGAAGTCCTGATGGCAAAACCAAAAAATTTAAATCCAAAAGATGATGATGGCGCTAAACCGCATCCAGTTCACAGCAAAGTCAATTTTGCAAGAAATGCACGTGAAGGGATTCAGCGGAAATTCTCAACGTCACCAAATAATCGAATGAAGTATAAGAATACTTATAGTTCGCCCGTTGAATCAAGCGCTGGCGTTTTTCGTCACGACTCCATATACTATGCGAATAGCGTTGAAAATAACAAAGTACTTGCTCGTAATCAGGATGCTGAATTACCACGTAAAAAGAATAACAACAGCTTGAACAACTATACCACAACACGCAATCAGCACATGACAGTTGTCAAAAATCGTCAGCAGGGGACTTCAGAGGCACTTACGGGATTTAGCAAAAGTTTTAAGAATGATCTTATGGAGATCGACAGTATTATTAAACAACGTATTGCAATTGGCAAGAAGAAAAACGATGAGTCTGAGCGTCCTAAAGACCCAATGCACAAATGGCTTCATCCTCCAGCTGATCAATTACTAAGTTGCAGGAACGAACGTAATATTCTTAATTTTGAGGTCATTGAGCAGCAACGTCGATTACAAGAAATAGAGATGGAACGGCAGACAAAACTCTTGCAGAAGTTGGATTCTCATTCATCAAATGTTTCTGTTCTGTCGAAATCAATTAAGGGCCATTCCGATCCTTTCTCAGTATGTAACAAATTTAGATCAAGTAAAGTAAATGTGAATAAGTCAACTACCCAGAAGAAGACTAAACCTGAAACCAATGCGGAAAACCCTAAATCTGATAAAGCACTAAAAATGTTAAATAAGACATCTGCTGTTGCTGCTGCAGTATCCTCAAATCCCAAACCAATCCGTGGTAGCCATGAAGGACGATTCAATCATATTGCTCACTTAAATCGACCATTTAAGTTTATCCACACTTCCTCAAAACATAATTCGTAAATTTACCGGAAAGCTAAAACATCATATATTGTTATTTTAAAAAGGGAAAACGATTATAAAAGTGTAACTAAAAATTTTTGGTTTATTAATTCTTATATCAGTTAAATTTTTGGTAAGACCGGGTTTGCAGTCAGAATAGTTAAATGATGTATAAATTAATAAGTAAAAATTTTATTCACATATATATGCTAATAAAAATGTAGCAAATAACACCAAAAAAGTAGTATATTATTAAAATAAAGAATAATCCGAAAAAAATAAATTAAGAAAAAATAGAATAAATTAAAAGAATATTTTAAATAACATCAATAATGTATGTGCATAACTATACATATATCTATCTAATTAAATGTACTTGTATGTATTTCCAAAAGTTCTTTTTAAATAAATATTTTTTTATTAAAATGACATGTAACAAAGCGACGTAGCATATTTCTGAAGTATTACTTCTTTTAAGAAACGCAAAGATCTCTATCGAAATTTTATTCTGGTCCTCCTGTAAAAGTCAATTTTTATGCTAAAATTTGTTTTTCGTAATTTATGGATATACACGGGTTCGTGTTCCTAACTTAATTCAAGTTTACCTAACTCATATTGTTTTTTAAAAACATAAAACTATCGCCTATATTTCAAGCCTTCTCTCTCGGAATAATGACCATCTCCCATACAAAAGAGATGTAATATATGACAAAAATAGTTTTGAAACCTTTAAAAATTGAATATCGTCACATAACAAATTCAAATTAATTTCCAGATATTTCTGTTAGAAGTAGTGGTGTTGGGTATTGAAAAGCATGGCATTCTTTTCACTTGAGTGAGCATGCATTCCTCCCGCATTGTGCAATAGCCGCACTCCTTTCGTATTCTCTCCAATACCATGCCCAAACTTTCTAGACTTTTAAATTTTAAACCTCCTTATATTAACCCTTCTTCTAATTGCAATGATAAAGTTCGCACACTAATCTTCAGGTCAGTGATAGATCATTTCTCCATTCATTCTTAGTATGTTGTTTCAATGGGTTAAAGTCCTACTTATTTTGTGATAAAAAATTAAATTTTTTAAATATTGCAGTACATATATGGAGGTATTCCTATTTTCCAGGCACTTTGATTGTCAAAGAATTTTAAAATATTTCAATATAATATATAGCTTATTTCTGGATGTATTAATGTAATGTATATTTGGCAAATTTTTACATTAATTTCGACGAAATCAACGATTTACAATAAAATATCCAAATTTAAAGCTCGTTATCTCGAAAACTATACTATATAATACATAGCGTAGTAAAAAATGTTTTTATCATTTAAATTATAAAATTTACTAGTTAAGTTCAGTTTTTATTAAAATTGTTGTTAATAAATATTAATGTTAAAGAAAAACTATGTATATTCATTAAAAGACAAAAATTAACAAAAATAGAAAATTAAAAATAAAAAATAAAAAATTAAATCTCAAAAATATGCAAATCAAATGAATTGGCAATCGAATGGAATCCTTTACATATCGTCAAATTGTGTGCTTTAAAGCAAGTGAAATCGAAAATTCAGTCGAAAAAATTGCGGTATAATCCTTTTGCAAGCGTGTTGAAAGCATCGTATTACCAACAGAAGAATATGTATATACAATAATGACCAAAAGCGAAACCCAGACCTTATCGCAAACCTCGACAGATGCAGATACGAAAACAGACACTTAAAGTGGCTATAAATACATATACAACTATATACATATTTATCTGAATATTTAAGTACAAATGTATGAATGTATGCTATATATATATATAAATATATATATATAAGGAAATGTTGTGCATAATTGATCATGTGGCATTATTGGTTGCATAGTATTCAAATGTGTTTTCATACTCAAGAACAAGTAAAAGCCAACAAAACGGAAAAAAGGCAACAGAACCCTTTTACAATCAAGGATTTGTTACATTTGCTTTAAATTCTTTAAATGTCCTTTAGTCATATATGATTACAAAACAAAAATAAAATAAAATCTTATAATTTAATTCTGTAAAATTAGTTCAATTATATGCATCAAAAGACAAACCACAAAAAGATATGTTAGTAACTTAATTTTAACATAAACGTATATTTGAGTTTTAAATACTTAAATAGAACGAAATTTATAGATAAAAGCAGAAATTGTCATTAAATTAAATAAATTGTAATTACTTTATATATGCAAAATGGAATGGTTGAAAGGGAAATTTAGTCTTAGCATGGTTACCTAAAATACAATGACCTGAAAGTACACATACTACGAGATTGATATCTCTACGGAGAATCTCAATTAGAAAGTCTGATTTTCTTTCATTGGAGCTAGCCAAATTGCATACAGATGCCTGCATATCGTTGAGTCTTCCCAACTTTTGTTAAAAATTTCGGCACAGCAAAAACTCAGTAAAAATTTACATGATGTCAACGATATGCTCAGATTGTTTAGGTATTTCAAACGGTTTCCTGAAGTCCCTTGTCTGGCTAAGGGGCTTTGTTACATACTATTCTCTAAAATATTTTGAAATATCAATATATTAAAGCATAAAGTTAATAGTAGTTCCTAATAATGTTTTTTAGAAAAACACTTAATGGTATAGATAAGAACAGCAATAAAAACACTTGACTTAAAAAATACTAAAATATATCTCATGTGAGTATTTGATGAAAAAAAACTTTCATTTCAAAATCAAAAGCGCAAAATTGCAACGTTCAAGCTGTGGTCAGCTAGAGTGGCTAATTCCATCTGTCCAATTGTCAGTGGAACATATAAAAGGCACAAATGACAATTTCTTTGATCAAACTGGCCAAATTGCAACAAAACATGAGATTCTATTTGAGATTTTATTGCATTTTTTAAACTTTCATAAAAAACTATAGTTGGCACTTTGTGTGCACTTATGAAAACTGTCATCAACATTTCAAAATTTAGTCAATAAATGGCAAAAATATTATATATGAAAATGAGAATGAAAATAACTGAACATTCTTATTGGATCTTGATAATCATTTTATTACTTCTGCATTTTTTATAATATTATGGGCTCTACATTTTAATAATAATAATATATATGGACAATATAATGACGAACGCATTGGAGGTTTTTTATTTAGTGTAATTATTTCTTTTACTTTTTATTGTATACGATTTATCAAGATATTATTATCGATATATTTCTGTTAATAATAAAGTCATTTATAATATTTTGTATTTAAACTTTCTAACAAAACTTTTTTGATTTGATTTACCTAACAGTTTTTAACAAACATTTAAAATCAACTTAAGTTTGCGTTCACACCGGGTGTGTTAATGCGTTTTGATGAAGAAAACTGGTTTCTAAAGGTATCTAATATATCATTGTTATTGGAAAGGAAAGTAATTCTATTCTTAAACTAGTTTTAAATGCGTAGATGCTTTTGAAGTTCAAACAACTTTATGAAATATTATAATGTCATTTTAAAATTAATATTTTAGCATTGTAATTCTCATCCCCACACATAAACAAAGTGTGAATATAACAGCTGATTGTTGAACTAGTTGTCAGTTTAAACAAGTTTAAGATTAGTTTAAAACTAGTTTGCTTTAATATATTGTTGTTGTTGTTGTAATTTGAGTTACTGCTATTGCGCACATTTACTCTTTTGTGGTTGGGGGCTTATCCCTGCCCCACACTAAACTTTAACTATACTAGAATTATTATCATTTATTTATCTTCTAATTGATGACAGACCGTAGATCAGCATATCTTCCTGTGCGTCCTGAGGGATTGGGTAACGTATCAACTTTTGTGAATAATTTTAGGGCGCTGTCCTTGATATATTTTTTCATTGAGTCGATTCTTAGATCTATATGCATGCAATTAGTATCTTTATAGTAACCTATGCTCTTTTGACAGTAAACAATTATTGGATTGAAATTAATTTTAACTCTTTTTTTATATTCTCATTTAAATTTTAAATTAAAAATAAATACACAAATTCTAAACGTTCAATTATATCAACTTTAATTAGAATATATAAATTGATAATGGAATCAGAACAAAAAAATTTATCGGAAAGTAGCATTAGATTAGAGGTATTTTACAAATACAAGATTTATGAGTTTTTTAAAAATAGTTTTTGTTTTAAGAAAGTTCTGCTCTCTAATTCTACAAATGCAAAATTAATTTACAATGTCTCACAGGAATTCGGTACGTTAACCAAAATTTAATTCGGTTTAATATATATATAAAGAAAATACAAAAATAATTATTAAGTATAAATTAAAGACCAAAAAACATCATTTTGAAATTCTTATAGATAATTTTTACAATTCAAATTTTTCAGTGCAGATGTGAAGTCTACTAAGAACAGCATTGTGTTAAATAAGAAAGAAACAGAAGTATATAGATATAATATTATTCAAATTAGATGTGTAATATGTATAATTTAATATATAACTAACACTTCTTTGAAAAATGTAGATTTCGGAGAGAAATGAATCGGAGAGCATTGTGTTAGATAAAGAAGAAACGAAAGTAAATAAATATTAAATATACAATTTAATAAATAACATATCTTTAAATAATTTAGATTTCAGAGAAAAGAGACACGGAGAGCATTAAAATAAATAATGAAGGAAGACCAGTATGTAGATATTACTTATATAATTTAATAAATAATTAACATATCTTTAAATAATTCAGATTTCAGAGAAAAGAGATACGGAGAGAATTGAGTTAAATAATGAAGAAACAGATGTCTGTAGATATTACACATATAATTTAATAAATAATTAATATTTCTTTTGAAACTTTAGATTTCGGAGAAAAAAGATACAGAATTAATGACAGACAAAGAATCTTTGGCAGAAATTCTCCGCCAAACAAAAACAGAAACAGGTAAATATTATATTAGTTTTTAAATCATTTATGGTCCATATTTCCATATTATATACGTTATTGAAATTAAGAAAACAATAAGTACACTCTTAACAAATCAGTTAATGATACTTTCAGGAAGATATTGATAGAACATTCAATGTTTACATTTACAGCACCACAAATATTTATTTATCTGTTGGTATAATTTGTATAGTGGGTGATTAATTAGATGAAACAACAAAAGATTATCAATATCCTGTACTCAAGTAACAACACCATATCTTCATTACAAACTAATGGATTTGTAGATATTTTTACGTTTCAATGAAATACACTTTGAACAAATTAATACTGAAGTAAGCTCTATTGTTTCACTCAAGCATCTTATCAGTGCTCAATTCAACTCAAATGTATGCATTACAATTAACAACACAAGTGACGTCCAACACGATACTAAATTTACTGCAATATTTTGTAGTAGATCTTTTGATTAACAAAAACTCCATTAAACTATTAATTCGAACAGATTTATCATTTTGTGGTCCAGAACTCTATATTATTAAACCGCACTTGAGTTGTAGATTTTCATCAAATTTTTGTTTCTGTATAATATTTGGGCTTACCATTGTCTTTCAACAAACTCCTAAAAGTACTGAATCGGTATTGGTTTTTCTTTTTTAAAATCATATGCTTTTAACATCTATATCTGTAATTTCACAAAATTGGTGATCATATGTCTATAGCGATCAAAACTGTTTCTTGACGTACCCACCAAACGAAAACTAAAAAAAAATGATTTGAAAAATCGTCACCAGTTTTAGTTGGTAACTAGTTAACAGCTGTAATCATTACCATAGTGAATTTTAAAAAGTTAAGCAAGATAAGTGATAGATAAACTATATATACTGTAAAATGACAAACCTTGAACCAAAAATTTATAACTTGGATCACAGTTCTGTTTAATTTCTAACAATAAAACAGTGCTGTCAAATTAGAATCATCCTTTATTTATATCTGCATGAGTTCTTATCTAATGAGTATATTATTTCAGAAACCGATGATATATTTCAAGGAAAACATTTCAGTAAAGATGATTTGCCTTGTCAAAGAGAGATGGAGAATACAGCGAAATCTTCAAGTCACTTGAATAAAACTGAAATAAACACAATGAAAAAATTGACAAAAAAGGTATCTAATTTAAAAGATTTTGATCAAATTGAGCACTTGCTAAGTAAGTTGAGTCTAACAAGCAATATCTCGTTAGAAGAAACAAAATCAGATAATTTACTTTCAAAAAAATCAACAACCTCTAGGCTAATAGATAAACATTGTTTGGGAAAATCGAAATCTGACTTAGATATGTTAGAATTTTATAAAACTCAATCTATAGAAGAAAATAACTCAAGCAGATCTAGTAGTACTTCTGTGAATTCGAATGACTATTACACCACAATGAATAAGGTATTCGGTGATCTTCATGATTTTGTTAAAATCGAAATTCCCAAGTTTTCAAATGGCGTACAAATTAAAAGTGAACTTAAAGAACTAAATAAACGTATTGGAAATATTATGAAATTAGCATGTGAAGTGAAAAACGATTTACTTGATTTGATGCCAACAGAAGAGACCGACACAGAGACAACTACAGACGACGATGAAGTGAACACAGAACAAACTACTGACGATGATGAATAGAAATATGTAACTAAACAGATTAAAATATTTTATTATGAAAACATATATTTAATAAAACATAGAATAAAGTTATTTTTTCGCATATGCATTCTATAATTTAAGAAACATATTGGTGAAAAAAAATTGGAGGACTAACAATTTGAAAACGAACTATAATATAGATAAGATAAAATTATATCGGTAATCCTAAAGATCTATTTAGGTCTATTGCGTTAACATATAACAAACTCAGAGGTTTAAAAACCAACTTGAACCTTTAACAAATATTAAAAAGCTATTTAAAAGGAGTTCATGGAGTTGGCCTAGATCCTACAAAAAAAAGGAAGCACCTAAAATAGTAAAGAGGCAACAGGCATGTGATAGGGAAGTAACAAAGCATATGTTAAGCTCCTTCATCGTTCTCTCCACAACTGCGGGGGTGCCTGGCCAGCTCATCTACCGAAAATATCTTTATGATCGGAAACTCGAAATAGAGATATAAAATATCTGCATCGATATCGCGTTCAGAGATGTGTAACAATCAAAAACCGTTATAAATGTATATTGCACTAAACTTAATAACTTCAAAGCAGCTGGATTGTCTGATAGTATGTATATATTATGATAGTATGTAATATATTGTTTATATTATCCACTTTCAGACAAACTCTAGCTTCCTAAATAGCGATTACCTCCACCTATCAGGAAGCCTATAATAAAAATATTTATTCAATCTTTCTGAAAAAAACAACACCGCCTACACCACTACTCATTGTAGAGAAATGTTAAACTGCGTCGGCATCTCTAAACGAGATGTGTAACAATCAAAAACCATTCTAAGTGTATGTTGCACTTATCTCCATTAGTGACTTTAGAACAGCTTTGTTGTGTACTTATATATTACATATATACAAATATATATATACTTATTAAATACATTATCCACTTCCAGACAAGCTGTAGCTTCCCTAATAGCAATTACCTTCACCTTTAAAACATTGAAATGATCAGAAGGAATATAATAGGTAGAAAGAAAAAAATAGATAGAAAATAATATTACAATAGATAGTGGTGTACCACCTATAATAAATAGAGCCGTGTGTCACCCGACATTATATTTGCTATCAAAATGATCTATAGAAGAATATAAAATAAAATTAAAAAAAAATTTTTGGTTTTACAATGCTATATTTAGTATCTTAAAAATTATTTAACTTCTATCCATTTTCAATTTGTGTTTTATTAACAAAATTGAATATAAATTTAATTTGAAACTTTAAGTGCTTCATATATATAAAATAAACCACATAAACACATTAAATCTATAAAATGAAATGAACTCAAGAACATGAGAACATCGATTTATAAAATCAAGTTCAGAGTAAAATAACAACTATATATGCTATACACAGTACAATAGTCAGTACAATATACAATATATAACCGAAAGGATTAAAAGCAACAATATAAATGCAGAAAAAGGCAATACAAATACAAATAAAATGGCATTTCAAATAAGATTGCCTGCAATAAAATAAAGCTACCACGAATCCTCACTCAGACCGAATGTGGCATTTAAAGCTTGATTTTCTTTTATGTGAACTGCTCTGTTTGCCTGCGAAATGATTGTTGACGGAGTATGGCGATGTCTGTGTGTTCATTTCTGGATAAGGGGAATAGTTATTTGTGCTTGTATATGTATGTGTCTGTGTGTCCACGCTATAGCATCATATTGTTTGCCTCTATGAACAAAGCGCTGCTTTAATGCCCATATTAGCCATTATTGTTACAGTATTTGTTTTATGTTTATGCTTCTTCTTATTGCTGTTCTCCCTGCTGTTGTTTTTACTGTTCGCCTAACATTGTTGATGGTTGCGATGCAATGTAAGATTTTGTGGTCATTTCAAAATTTTCATTTTATTCGATTTGACGCCATTAAAGTAAAATTGTTTTATTTTTTGAAGAAATTTATTATAAAAATCTAATGCAAATTGATTATTTGTAATTATAATGTATTGAAATTGTTTATATTATTGTAAAATACCAAATCTGTATGTATAGATCATCAAAATAGTTTTTTATTTGTAATTTCAAAACTAAGTTCTTTAAGGACGTATATGAAATCAATGAAACGCTTCTACAAGCAATGAGATCTACATTACGGAACCACATATCTGTACAGATAAACCATTACCGCGCTATTTACTCCCATTAAGGACTTAAAAAGAAAAGCATCTACCTTCGTTAAAGTAACAACAATGTATATAGATGTTATTTAATATTTGACTACAATATTTGGTTTATAGATGAATTAAAAAATGAAAATGTACAAACCGTAGAAAATATCCAATACAAAAATTTTTTATAGAATTTTATTTTATACTATTGATTGAATTTGATTTTATAATATTGATAAAAATGTGTGATGTAAAATGTTATAGAACTCACTATAAAAATACTAGAATTTTCATATATTTAATTAGTCCCCATCACCCGACATTTCAAGCCACAAACACTCTTAATTTTGACCCCTGGCTTGCCAACAAGCCCCCCAATACCATATCTTATACTTATTTATTTATTGTTGTTAAGGGATGTGGCACTGTGACCATCAGGTCTATTGTGCCCCTTTCTGAGGCACATAGTCTTTTAAGGCCTGTTGCGTCGTTAAAAAATAGTATAAAATCTACTTTACAGAGTTTTATTGCCTCTTCCATAAGTATATACATTCCCAGGAGTTTATTCCGTTTGTGCATTAGCGCCGGGCATTATAACAGCACATGTGTGGTCGACTTCTCAATCTCTTCGCAGAATCTACAGTTTGCGTCTGTATACATACCTAGTTACGATTATTATTTTTTTTTTTTATTATTAAAGAGTAGATGTGAAAATTGCCCAACAGCCAGTACTGTGGCCAGAAAAGACCTATTGTACCAGTTTCACTATTGATTAAACAAAACCCCTTAAACCTTTGTGAATAAAGTCTAGAACTAAATCTAGAAAAGATTTCTTAATCTGTTCTGGTGACAGAAATTCTTTATGAAATTTACGTTATTAAAGGTGGACAGTCACAAAGTACCTAGTTACGAAACCTTATACTTTGATAAAAGGCATTCAGATACTTCCATCACCCATTCTATAACCATCTACAACTAAACTACATCTCCCCCTAACCCGTTTGTGTAATAACACGACGTGCTCCAGCCACCCTCTTTTCCTCTATACTACGCCTATGATTTCTAGCTTAGACAAACCTTAACATCTGGACACTAAGCCGCTTTATTTGAGCTTTGTCCACTAATTTCTGAAATGAAATTAGGTGAGTTTCATACCATGGACCTGGAGGGCAGTTCACTTATTCATTACTAAGAAATGTTTTTAGTGAAATAAAGTCCAATCTTTCGGCAGAGTCTTAATAAATTAGAAATCTATGTATAAATGAATATGCCAAAAATCAAAAATATCAAAAATACATTTTAAAGTACTTATTTGGTTATCAAAAAAATAAATAAAGTATCCAAAAGTTTACAATGAAAAATTGAATACATAAAAAATAAAAGTTACTGGAATCAAAATATTTTTTTTTTCTAAACACAAGGCCTCCGCTAAGATTTGGCCATTACTTAGAGAAACAATTTGCTTGTAAGTAAAATAATTTCTTATAACTCCTTTTTGATATCGTGATATCTTCAATTACAACGTGTGAAACTCTCTCCCTCCCCATTTCACCCTCCGCCCCCCTCTCTACATCCCTCTCTCTATTCCCCTAAATCTCTCCCGTTCTGTTATTCTATGCTTATTTGGTGTTTTGATAAGATCTTAATCTTAATCTTTTTTTAAGAGCAAACATAATAGCAGACCACTGTTAAAACCAAATTGAAAGAAATTTTATTATGTTTACCGCTCAGTACCAAATCAATTTCATTTTTTTAAATCGGAATCTGGACTCATCTTAAATATTTCAATGAATTATTTATAAATGTACACATTTACATAATACTGAAAGATTTTTTGTAATTGGTATATCTTAAAACTCTATTCATTGCCAAATTCAGCGTAATTATAAGCTCTCCAATGAAAACGTAATTTACTGGACATTATAAAATTTCTTCCTATTAGCATCACGTATTCCGCAAATCATTTGCCAATGTTAAGAATTTTTTAATATTAAATTTTTTTTTTAGCTTTTTTCAAACTGTTTGCCTTGTAAGGCTTCTGCGAATTTAAGGCTTTGTGCGCTCTCCTCTTTTACCACAATTTTATTATGCATTCCTTCCTAAGCTATAAACGGCGAATGCACGAATTTAGTACTTTTTCTTCGTCTTCATCTTCCACACTTTATTGTTTTTATGGTATATTATTCAGGTCAGGGTTACAATGCAAGCAAAATAAAATAAAAGCGCATCGTTCTATTGCACAAAGAATTTTTCAATGCCGCACACATGCCGTGCACCGATGGATCCATTCTATAAAGTGAAGGAAAAAAAGGTCCAAACTGCCAGTGGAAAATGAAACTTAGCAGAAGTAATAATAGAACTAGAAAATGGAGCAGGATTCAGGAAAAAAAAACCAAGAACACAATAAATGTTAAGTTGCGTATTAGGAAGGCAAAAATTTCAAATCGCATTTAATGTTGCAGTTAAAGTTGCATTAAACCCAAAGGAAA